GGGGAAGAGTGCACTGGGCTTCACCGGACGGCTGCGCGTCGGACCCGTGTCCCACACTGGCGGGTCTGCAATGCCAAAGCTGAAGGGACACGTTCTGGGAAGCGCCCTGGGGGAGGATAACAATTTATCCGGCAGTACAGCGAATTTCTGCTGCTACCAAGAAAAGACAGAGCTCAGAGAGAAAGTGAAATAAAAACATATCTTATTTCTGTCTGCATAAACGATTGGGGCTGGGAAAGGCAGCGTGGGAGCTCCCTGGATAGAAGGAAGGGAAAAGATTTACAGAACCCAGAGAAGTTATGAAACCTTTGCTAATAGTTATTATAGCCTCTCATTGTGGCCTCCAGGTGTAGACTTTTAGGAGAAAATTTGTCCAGGTTTGGATGAGATAGTCTGTAATGACTTTGCTTCTAACCTCAGGCTCTTTCTCAGGCACTGAATGGCTTTTTTTCCACCGCTGGATTCTGTGGTGGCAGCTACTAAGCTTGTTCCCAGTTCCCAGCTGAAGCACCGGAAGAACAGCTTTCAGCATGAACTCGTACCTGACAAAGAGGAAAGTCTGAAGAACCTCTATGCCCGAAAGAGCCAAAGCTACTCATATTCTCTGTCTACAGAAAGCAGTCAACACAGCTCCAAGCACAGAGGCTTCTGTTCAGGTGGACTGCAGAGCAAGTATCTCACCAGTCAGACCAAGACTCTGCCAGCTAAATCAGTGGCCAGGCAGAAAGAAGGAGTGGACCGTGCATATCCCCTGAAACCAGTTTTTCACCACAAGGGTGTGAATGTTCCAATGGTCAACACAGCACAGCTCGGAAGTTCCCCATACATGGAGGAAGCTCCAAACAGTAGGCCTAGCTCAATGAGCAAAGGGAAGCCTCCAGCAGGGAGGTCTCAGCTAGCTGCAGTGCTCTCTCCTTGGACAGCAGAGCCTAAACAGTCAGCTTCTCATCTATACAGGAGAGAGCTGGCCTACATCCTCAAGTTGGAGGCAGATGGACAGAACCTGGAGGAGGAAATTAGAAAGAAAGAGGCCCTCCTCAGGGAGAAGCTGAGGAGAACAAAGGAGGAGCTGAGGAGGATTCAAAGAGAGAAAGAGCTTGTCAAGGCAGAGGAGAGAAGAGACAGAGAAGCAGAGAGGACCCATGAGCAAAAGGCCGCAAGGAACCCTGGAGAGACACCTGCCAGAGTTGCAGTCAGCCAAGGTGATGGTGGGGGGGACTTTGGTGGGGTGCAGTCTGCAGAGGCCACTCTCCCCAAGCCTGGCACTACCCTCCACCCTCAGGAGCTGGCTATGGGGAAACTCAAGAAGGAGCTGCTGGTGGCCAGCAACAGCAAAATTCGAGACCGCGTACCCACAAAGTGCTCAGCCTCTTGTTCAGAGCTGGCCCTAAAACCTAACCCCTCTCCCTCTGCCCTCTTGGACCAAGATCCTGGTGCCTGCCTGTCCACAGAGGTGCTGTACATGCAGGCTGCCAGTGCTGTGGAGCAGCAGGGGCTCGGACAGTGCAGCTTCTGCAGACGTAAGTTCCTCCACACCAGGCTTGAGAAGCACACAAGTATCTGCAGCAAGAGCCAAGGCTCCAAGAGAAAAGTGTTTGACTCCAGCAGGGCCAGAGCTAGGGGCACAGACCTGGAAAAGTATCAGCAGTGGAAGAGCTCAGAGAGGCCTCAGGTAACGTTCAGTCCCTTTACCTCCCTCAATGCGTGTCTGCTGCTCACATTCTTTCTGTCTTGACATCTAATTGTGCCTGAGAGGCGAGCGCCTTCACGCGTACAGGGCTCAGGGATGCAGTCCAGCTATTGCCTCTGGAGGGTGCTTGCCAAAGGGATGGATAGAGCAATTTAAAATCTAATAGATGGGGGGCGGGGGCCCTGACTTATCTTCTTGTGATGTGTCAGGAGTGTACTCCTGGAGAAAGCTCGGTCCTTGCTGCAGTCAGGATGCAGGCTGGGTCTGCTGCAGTAAAGCCCTGTGACATGAGGGGCTGCAGGGAACTGACTGGAAAACAGGTGATTACAGGGGCCACTAAAATGCAAGCAGTGGAAACACACAGCTTTGTTCCTGCAAAGCAGCAATAGCAACCTTCCCCAGTTCCTTGGCCCTGCTGCTTACTCTTCTGCTTATTCTCAAGCTTTTTCTAAGTATTGATGTCTCCATCAGTATTTCCTTCAAATCCTCCTTGGTGCTGGACTTCTTGGTGCCCTTTGTGGGACTCAGCTTCTCAGGGAGGGTTTTGCATCACCAGAGAATGCCCAGGGACAGGCATTCTGAGAACAGAGACATTCTGAGAACAGAGGCTGACGGTGGTGCCAGTTGCTCTGACTGCCTTTCCCTTCTGCAGAGTAAGCCACCCAGAGGGAACAACTCGAGACAGAAGCACGAGGTTTTCATCCAGACCCTGCGCCAGGACTGCCAGGTGCAGCAGATCCTCTCCAAGGGAGGGAAGGTGTCTGACCCATCCCCGCTGCCTCCCATCGAAAACCCAGACTACATCACCTGCCCCTACTGCAGATGCCAATTTGCTCCCCAAGCAGCCCAAAGACACATTCCCAAATGCAACCCCCCGGAGAACAGGGCCCCAGCCCCACTGCAGAGGAGGCGCTGCTGAGGTGGTGTCACACGGTTCCTGCTGCCCGCATTCCCTGCCTGTTTTCTGCCAGGTTTCCAGCCACTCACGCTGTCCCTACTCTCAGCACTGGCTGTGAGTGTTGAGCTTGTACGTACATGTGACAGTTTCACTGGGCTAGCCCTTGGC